CGCAATGGCAGAAGACGCCGTAGATAGAAGAAAGTGGAGGCGGCGGACAAGAATAGCGGACACTGCGACGGTGTGAGATTAACTCTAAGAAGAGAGGAAGAAGAAGCAGTGTTGGTGGTGTTCGGATTGACAGCAGCAAAAAATTAGGCTCCAAGGAGAGCAGGCCAACCACACCAAGGTGGCTCCTATCATGGTTATCAATGCGTCTAGATGCAATAGAATAGTATTTGACTTTCACTTTCCTCGAATTGGCAGGTAGGAGATGACGATAGGGCTGAGCAGCTCAACATTTGGATGTCATATAAGGGACCCAAGAACTTGGTGATTCTTACTGAGAAAATGGAATAAAGGCCTCTCTGCAAGTGAAGGGGTGCTGGCCAGCTGTTGACCTATTCTGGAAATACACCTATATACGGGTGATCTAGAAACTTGTTTGAACTAAAAATTATGTACAAATCCAGTAATATTCACCGATTCCCTCTGATTTTTGACTGATTTTCGAGTCTCACTAGGTTCACCTTAAATTTCGACATGAAACTTCTCAATAGTGTTGATTGTCTGAGACCTTTGCCCTTGAAAATTGAAATCGAGGGAACAAAACTCATTTCCTGGTCCTTATGTCGTTGACCACTCGAATAGGAGGGTATTGAGGTTCCAAAAAGAAAGTGAAAAAACCAGGAAGTAATGGAGATAGGTGTTTCAACAAAAGGTAACATTGGTAAAAAGAGTTGGAATGAAATAAAATGGCTAACATTTTCTCGACAATAAACTTACGCGAAGAAACAATGCCGAGTTGAAGAAAAAGCAAGCAGTTCGCTAGCAGGTTCATAACTGATGCGGACAAGAAATGTGTCTTAATTCGAAAATGTTACCATTATAGGGGAAGCGGTCGCGGTTTGTCGGATTACAACGGCGNCGACAAGAAACTTTGAAGCTTATCAACCTTACAGCTATTAGCAACGGTCGTGTTCTTTTGCAACTGATGAATCTAACTTCAGCAAGCACGTGCATGAAAATGCACGATGCATCAGAAAGACCATATCGGACCTTAGGTCTTTCTGATGCAATTCAAAACGCTCACCCGGCTTTGGTTCACTGGATCAGCTTTGGGATGAAAGGAACGGAGTTGTGGCAGTGTGTCCACCTCCATCGGGAACTATTTCACTATTTCCACTCTACCCAATGATGGAGAGTCGAATATGTCTAGGGGAACACGGCCTCTTAGGGTAGCTTCATTCTACCCTAAGAGGCCGTGTTTCATGAATTGGTAGCTTCATTCGGTCGTAGGCTCAGCGGTCAGCCGGGAATGAATAGTGCTTAAGCAGAGTTCGTAAGAGTTTCAAACTATTGAGATCGTTATTTCATAGTAGTAGGACTTGAAGAAACCGATCATTGCATGGGTCAAAGGAGCATTCAACTAAAGACATTACGGTTCTGGACGGAGAATGGATCCATGGCGTAACCTGACAGAGAATGTGTACTTTATTTTGTATGGGATGGCTATGGGAATTCGTCCTGAAAACAGGTTGACTATCTTGGGAGGTTCCAAGCAGCCCTCCGCATAAATAATGCAATTGGCATTTCGGCAACGTCCCACATGGTCACACTGCAGTTTAGGTTTATTGAGAGGCATGGTCTCTTTCTTGGGAGAAGTTTTCTCTGCCGCCAAATCACGGGTAACATACAAGTTCCTCTTGTTGGAGCCACGAATACCTTCAATTTCCATCACAACTATGATTCAACCTCCTCATTTCGAATTTCGAGTATGAGTTTGATTTCTGTAGAAACCTGTGCCCTAGGGAACAGTGAGGAGGATTACTGATTACCTTCTCATGTCCCATTGAGCGACTACGGTTCATGCAAAGCTGCGTATGAAGACTACTTAATTTTCTCGGTCCGCTCATAAAAAGAAGGGTGAAAGTCATCCTCACTCCTCATGTCACTCATTCATTGTTTCAGTTGTTCTTGCTCTCGAGACATTGTTCAATGACGAACGTCCTTGAATTCTACGGTTGACCCAGATTACATGTATTTAGCGACGAGGAAAGTTGCAAAGGTAATGATTGATGAGTAGTTATGAGACCAAGAAGGTGTAATTCCTCGGGGCTATTCTAATTCACGTCTTCATGGAAACACTACTAGACTTCGAGATTGTCATCTTCCTTCGTCTACTACTTGAAAACATTGTTTTATGAAATCATAAAATGTTAAAATTACTCTTTGTATATTAGGTGGTTCTTGCAGGTCACTGCAAAGGCTGTCCGGTTCTGCAGAAGTCATTCATTAGTCCTAGTACAGCAGCCATCTGTAATTATTTTCAAAGTGTACACATTCAAATTCGAAAGACGGTATTTTGACACCTCCATCATATTGTTTTCGCTCATCTATCAAATTGAGTACAGAATAAAACTGGTTTTCTATCACTTCTTTTGCCGGGTGAAAGTTTCTTGTGGTGAGTGATAGCCTGTCTTAACGGTTGATGTATTCTTTCCCTAATGATTTACTCTTAATGTTTAGTTCAGCCCAATAAATATCTTAACTATCAGTTAATACTGGGGTGTACTGCTTGTATAGGCATTGGAACATGCAACAATAACAAGTGAATCCGATGAAAGGGATTTTGGCTCCACTTAATTGGATAGACCACGCAGAGGTGGGGGAATTTTTCATCGTTGCCTGTTTTAGCCCATATCGTTGCAAATTTTAGCCCTTGGGTCCTGTCCTTTTTTGTAGAAAAAGGCACTAATTTGCCTAGTAAGTGTAATCGAGCCAAATTGATGAGAGGGTCCAATTGGGCTTTCGATCACTATTACCCCTCCCCGAGGCCGATGTAGGGATTTTCTCCAGTGCGGTCGTAGAACAGAAATCGAATGATGAGATCACCCACCAACTTTCTTCGAAGTTTTTTTAAAGGCACTAAATTTTTTTAAGAAGTAAATCCCACACAAATTGAACAGTTGAAAAAAAGGTGGCCTGGTCTTCATAGAGATAAGGTTGCACCCACTTGGCCGATTTCAAACTTTATTCTTCCTTTTTGCTTTGGGTAAGAAGTTGTCGCAGGATGGATGAAATGGAACGATAACTGGAGAGGCGATCTGAATTTTCTCGTTGGGAAGGGTGTGTAAGTAATGCCGCGATCCATGAACTAGGCCTGGCGGCTGAGATTTGAACGATTCGAAATTCAAGCCCAAACACACTCAACCGACACCCACCCCAACACCTACACCTAAGGACCGACCAAACACCAACACACGCCACAGGCTGCTTTCATAGTCCACGATTTGTCCCGCGACCAGTCGCTACGACCGATCGCGCGAGTGGCCGGGGGCCAAATCGTAGCCCATGAAAGCAGTCACACTCACACGCGGACATACACATATGGCGGGATTACATTATCTTATTCTGTCTTGCTTTGGTATTCACTTCCAGGATAATAGTCTAGGGTGGACCGGCAAAATGGGGCACAATCATTGGGTTCCTTTTCTTTACTAATGATGATTTTTCTTGATGCAGTGTGGAAAAGTAGTTTTTTTTTACCTGCTTGTAAGCTTCAACTCAAGTAAAGTAACCTGATTTGGTTAATAATCCGTAACATGGAAAAACCCTGTGATTACGAACTGTATTGCTGCAATTCCGATCCGAGCTGATTTTTTACTCCCATGGCATCAGTAGGTACCCAAGGGGGTGACCCTACCTCAGGGACATAGAATCTTATAGGCAACCTGAAAAAAAAACTGTTCGAGAAGCCTTTCTAAGAACCAACTTGATTATTGCAGGTCTGATTTTTTGTTTCTTTCAAAGTTTTATTTATTCAATTCACAACCACCTATGTATATTTACAAGCAACAACAAACAAAAGCATGTAACTACTAGAAATGATAGTGAAATGGTCCGTATTTGTTGGATGTACACGTGATGACGGCAAATTGCCATTTGGAAACGGAACCCGTAGAAGACAATTTCAGACAGTGAAACTAGAGCAACTTATGCAACTTCCGATCATTTAATGATCAGAGGAACGAAGACTGTTTCCTAGAGATTTCCTATTACGTTGTTACGCGACACAACCTGTGCCATGTATGGACGGAGTGGTCCAATTGTTCCTGAGTTCCGTTCAAGACACTGCTTAGGGTNACTGATGAATCTAACTTCAGCAAGCACGTGCATGAAAATGCACGATGCATCAGAAAGACCATATCGGACCTTAGGTCTT